TCATATCGACCCGACCAAACGTACTCGGCTTTGGCGCTCGCCGTCAAGCGCGCGCAGAAAAGCTGCGTGAAAAGGGTGCTGGGGCGATTAGTACATTCGGGAGTATCGCTCCTACCGGTCGCAACCAAGGCTTTGGATCTGGCTCTGGTTCTGGTGGGAGTGCAGGTGACATGCGCGATGGAGTTCTCGTCATGCGAGAAATTACCCACTCGACGACTGGAATGCCGTCTCCAGGCACACCTACGGGTCAAACCAAGTCGGGACATACCCTCCGATTCGAGGTTGTCGAGGATAGCGAATGCGAGTTGAGCGATGTGGAAGATGACGCCAAGAAGCAGCGGAGGAGCGTGGATATAGAACTCGCGGATGCTCCGCCGGTGTCACCCCTTCCACCTGCTCATACCCTTGAACCACGAAGAACAATGCCTACAGATAGTGTCTAAAGAATGGAATTTTCACTAATTGATTTTTTATATGGGTTATTTGGGACTATTCGTGATCTTTCATGTGTTTCTAACTGTGACTGTCCTTTCTTTTTTTTTTTGTACCGTTTCATCTTACCTTGTACAGTATCAAGAAATACAAATTCGGAATAAATGTATTGGGCTTCATTGATCTCATGGATACATAACATACTAAGCACAGCAAGCAAGAATCATGTCAAACAAAAAAGATCCCAAAAGGCGCAACCTTTACACAGAAACTACCCATAAAACCACAAATCCAAACCCATAAACAAACACCTCAGAGACCGTACGGACCGACCCACTCCTCTTCCTCGACATACCCAAGGCCTGAGCCTGATGCAACGTTGACCTTCTTTGCTTCTCGATCACCCGCCCCGTGCTCATCGTGGGCGCGTGGCCGCTTCGAATTCGTCGGTGTCGGTGTGGATCGTGAAGGCGTGGGGAGCGTGGGCAGGTGAAAGTACCGCTCAATGGGCGGTTTTGGTGTCGCACTTGGAGGGATGTTGATCAGCTGGTCAATTGGAATCGACGGGCCAGGTGAAGATGCGGGCCCATTGGCCGATTTCTTGTACTATACCTTGTCGTCAGTGACGTCTTTCGAAATACATCTGAAACTACATACTGTCTCGAGCTCAGGCTTCCCACGCCATCGCGCGACCGACTCACAGAATCGGAGAGCGGCACGTTCAACTGGTTCGGCCGGATACCGATCTGCGATTGCCTCGAGATGTGCACCGAGCCCTGGCGCGTCGTGGGGTACGCTCATAAACTGTTTCAGGGCAACAGGAATGTTCCAAGTCGAAGGAAACGTTGCAGTGTGGGCAACACGCGTAGAGGACAAGATCCAAGCGATCAAACCGTTATCGAGCCATGACACGGACGTAACGGGTAGCAGACCGGTGGAGCCAGGGGTCGGAGACCGGCCCATCACGGATAGGGGCCAGGGTGATCAGTAACGTCAAGGTTTTGCAAGTCCGCCGGGACGAGCCCACGAGAACAAGGGACAAAACAGAAGCCTGGTCAGTGTCATATTATAATGCCGGCGGCAACTGGGGAACCCACCTCGACCAGCCGGTCCCGAACCTCGCGCTCCCACTCGTCCTCTTCCTCTCCGCCCACGTCCCGGTTAAACAGTATTCGTCCGGCTTCAGCAAGCGTGGGCATCTCGTCAGGGTCATATATGGATGCCAGCGTCCTTTCACGCTCTTCGTACATTGCGAGTTCGCGTTCATCGGCTGAGCTCAACGTTCGACTGCCGGATCCGGTTGGACGAGCACTACTACTGTTACTTGGGATATCTGTACCAGTCGAACCCACCGGTCCGTCCTCGGGCCGAACACCCAATCTGAACAGCACCTCGGCTCCCATCGTCCCCCGCCACCCACGCATTAGATATCCCTCTAAACACGCCCGCGTGACGAGACCGCATAAAAGCGCGTACCAGATGCGTGTTGGGCGCGCGTGGAGCGACAAATTGGACGCCGACGAGCGCTGATCGACTGGCCCTTGAGCCGGTGTTGGCGTTGTTCGACCGTTGGCTGAAGCTGCTCGAAAGTTGGTCGAGGACGCACGGGGCTTCAACACGCCAGCACGCAACGAGCCTGCGATCGGCCGCCCGGACGCGATCGAGAATGACCCGACCTTGCTTCGCTTCTTCTCTCCGTTCTTTAGCGGCCCAGCCTCGTCATCCGAGCCATCCGTACTCGATCCGCTCGAGGTAGTAGGCAAATACGGGTTCGTGTTGGGGATCTTGACTGGAGGAGGGCTCATTGCCGATCTGGCATACGAACTCTTGAACCCGTCTTCCTCCCCTCGGGCTTCACGCCCAAGTTCAATCGCGACCAGCGCCGATAGACGCAAGAACCGGGAAATGAGAGCGGTAAGGCGACCTCCTGCAACAGCATCCATGCCCGACCCGATACCAGTCCCCGAAATGCCTAGTCCAACACTCGGTGGGCTGATTCGCATCGTACTCATGCTCATCCCGGAGTTTGCAGACCGAGGAAGCCGAAGGGGAGGTCCGCCCGACCGGCCGAGGCCAGCGCCAATCGTGCTCGTTCGGCCGGGCTGAACACCTAGGATCATTGCTGGCCGACTAGTGCTGCTGGCGCTAGTGCCTGGAGCTGGGATGTATGCACATGCTGGAGTTTGACACGTTCGAGAGAGGTGTCGAACACAGCGCCCGACCTGCTGGCCATATAAATCGTCAATTACGCCATCTCTAAATATGCTCGAATGGGATGTTGGGGGCGCGGTTACGCCAGAGCGGGGGTATATCCAAGGCCCTTCGAGACCTTGTCCGCGGGGTATCGTCTGAAATATGCTCTGTGGATGCGGGGGCGGGCCCGATGTAAGTTGATGAAATGAAGGAAGCGTCGTAACCGGGGGAGAAGGCGGACAGAGGGAGGGAGGAGGCGGAGAAGCAAGCTGCGAAAGCGAAAGAAGCGCGGGTGGGGTAGATGTTGACTGGGCGGGGCCGGGTGCAGGCTCTGGCTCTGGCGAGAATAGCTCATTGACGAGTAGCGAGAGCGCGAGGCGAAGGCGAACAGAGTTTGGGAGCTTTTGGGAAGCCGAGGGAATCACACCTGTGGCGAATAGCGGTCAAGCTCGGAACAACTCGCGAGACGGGTGGACTTACTTCGGGAACTGCTTGGGCTGGTGCTGAGCCCGCTGTCGATGACCATGTCGTCGTCGGCGTCTGGAGTCGGCTCCGGGAGCGGTGTCTGATCGAGCATAGCCGTCAAAACCTTTTCGAGCCCAGTAGCCTTTGCCCGGTATGCCGATGCGAGCGCTAGGTCGGGCGGGCCGAGGGAAAGCGCATCTGGATCTGACTCGACAGGGGCGGGAGCACGGGACGAGTAGGAAAGCTTGTCGAGCGGTTCTTCAAACAGTCCGAGACCCATTACGCCATGATCCTCGAGCGTCTCGAGACAGGCATCCTTCGCATCGAGGTGTGGCCGGGTACCGACGCCGAGTTCGCCGCGAGCAGCGCCAAAGCGAGCGCGGGCATGCATCCATAGGAGATGGTCGAGGATGAGTGTGCGCGTAGACTTGTCGCGCGGAGGGATCGAGTGCAGATGGTGCGAGTGTGGGTGTGCCGGAGGGACATAGGTCGCCGGCGGGTGCACGAACTTGCGGCTCGGGGGCGGATGTGGTCTCGGCGGGGGGTGATTTTGCGCCGGAGCAATGGTGATCGGGAACGAGGGGCGGGGCCTGCACGCCATCAGCACACATACACACATGTAGTATATACACTGCACACACCGGAACATGGGGTCGCGCGGGGCCGGAGTCTGGGAGCTGGAATAATAGCTGTATCCGCCGCCGCTAGCGGTCTCGTGGAGATCGCCGTAGTCGTATGCCTGGTGGCCGTCCTGGGTGCGATGGGTGACGGCAAACGCGGCAGGCCGGGCGACGGGGGCGGGGAGCGGTGCAAAGGTGTGGATCGAGGGGAGCGGCGGGTGGAGTGGCGGGAGCGGTGCGCGGTGCTCCTGGTCGCGGCGGTGGCGGGCCTGTTCGAGCAGCGACATTGCGGAATCGTCGTCTGCAGAGATTACGACCGTTAAGCCGCTCGGGTGCGGCCGGCGTCGGTTTTGCTGGTCAGAGTTGAAAGCAAGTCTTCGATGGCCCGCACGTGCGCCTTATTTAGCTCGCTTTTTTTCTCGCTGCTCAGCCGACGGATCCTCTGCTCGCGCGCCCCCCGACGTCTGTGGATGCTGCTCTGGGGCCCCGCACCGTCGCTGTGCATCCCGCCTCGCTCCGTGTGCATGGGCCGGGTGTGCCCGTCATCGCGTCCCGTCTCGTCCCGGTTATCTGCTCTGACTAACACCCGCTTCTGCTCCTTGGCGTGCTCTCCGCGGCGCTCGAGTCTTCTCCACCACTTCGCCCACACTCGCCAACGTCGCGCCGCAATCGCCCGGTGCACATGACTCGCCGCCAAGCGCAAACACACTTTTAGACCTCGGCGCTACCGTCCCGCACGCCGACACGAGATCCCAGCGTGGGCATGTCTTCACCGGAACCGGCTCATTTGCACCTGGGTCGAGGCGGCGGGCTCAGATTGCCGTGCGGGGCTATCTTTATCACGGAGCATCCCGGGTTGTGTATATTTAATTTCGATCATTTTATTATTGGTGTGGGAGTTCATTACACATGCTTTTAAAGGTGTTCAAAGCCCAAATGAATGGAGTAGGACAGACAAAACCGGTTAAAAACGTGTTTCTATATAAACTTATCGAGGCTCCTACGAATCGAGCTGTATTCACAGGTCAGGCAGGAATGCAGCTGCTCGGCTCTCGTACAACAAGTGATAGAGCGCGTGATGCAGAGCGGGTCGTCCCCGAGATCAAGTCTCCGTTGCTAATAGCGTTTCACGCACATCAAGATTGGTCTCGCTTGCCAGATCAACGGCTATAAACTTGCCATCCAGGTGTTCAAATAGGCGCCCAGCGCCTGATGCGCCACTTCACTCGCCACAACTCTTCTCGCATCAAATCCTTGCAAAAAGTATCTAGTTGATACTATGAAACCCTCTGGACAAGTCCGGATTTGAACCGGAGGCCTCTCGCAGCCCGACTACGTAAGCGATTTTGCTAAGCGAGCGCGCTACCAACTGCGCTACATGCCCTTATATGGAAATCCAGAGTACTTTTCTGAACTCACACGTCAAGCTACATCCCTCCCTTGTATTCCCGTTCGAAAATGATATATATATGGTGCTCATTTCATCCATTTTTAACGGCCCTTTCACTTACTACGGAGGAACTCTGCAAATTTCGTGCATTGGGACCAAGCACTGTAATCACTCGAAGTCCCAAGTCCCAACGATATAAAATCTTGGCTTGATCTGCTTCTTCACGCTTAAAAAGACGCTCTGAATTCGAGTTTCGCCCATATAATCATGCAGCGGGTATTTTCGAGCCCAATCCTACCTGCTTCTGCCAGGCTGATTGGGTCTAGCTGCTCGCTCAGTTTTTTTACAAAACAAATTGAGCTCTTGATGACGGCCGTACCGTTGCGAGAGATTGATTCGAGTGATGAGGTAAAGCCCTTTGAAAGCCTGTTTGAGAATGCTTCCAGGGTGGTTTTGTAAGGTTCAAAGCGGTACGGTAGTCAACTTGGGTGTATCTTAAAAAGTAGCGTTCACGGTGCTATATTATCCTGGTTTGCACAAGAGATTATGCGATATGCAGCTCACTACAAGTAAAAGTTGAGCTCATCCTGAATCATGCTGATGTGCATATATTCACAATGGCTGGCGTGCAGTGTCACATTTGGCACAAGTCAATAGTAAAAATCAATATGTCCTCGGGCTGTCCGTTCCATTGAATCAGGTCATGCAATCTAGAGACGGATACAATTAAATTTCTCGTATCGCTAGCACCGTCCGCATAAATACCTGATTGCTTGGGTGAACCCTTGCGCTACGACAGTGTTTCTAAGAAATAACTCAGAACTCAGGCAAATCTGCCGGAGATCCCGAGTGCTCAAGAGCGAGCTAGGCGATCCGTAGAATCAAAATTGGTCATGAGTGTGGCTCATGACTGATCTGGATTCTACGGATCGCGATGAGTGCTCGGGATCTCCGAGGGATTCAGCTGAGAACCAGCCATAGCTTTCGCAATATCTTAGACGCTGGGAGTAATCACTTGCACAACGGGCTCACAAATTGACACTGTCCGAAAGCGTTTGACCAGCGGGTGCGAAAGGATCTTGATTATTAGCTGCTTGGCAGTTGACTGATCAAATGCGGCCAGATGAATACCCATAGAACTACAGACTAAAGTGAGTAGTCGAGATTCAGATCTGGGGCTTAACTCACAACCGAAACCCAGGCTTTTGTGATATAGGTGCTAAATACGCATACCCAGATACCTTGCCCTCTTTCTCAGCGAGGATAGCCGGGCGCGGAAGGTCTGACTCATTGCTAAGGTGCCCATACCACAAGCGCCTCTCTTGAATGTTTGTAATCTTCTCAAACGAGTTTGCACTAAAGTAGTATCTCCTCGCGTTATGAATGGCATTTACTGGCTCCCGAATGACTAACTCGTTGGCAGTCTTTTTCGGAGAAATAAAGTATCGCACCTTCCAGCAAGTCATCAGTCTGAATATCTCGGCAAATAGTTCCGGCGGCTACAGCATCGTCTACACCAAGGTCTGGTGGACTGCATGCGCTCTCTATTAGCTACGTCGACCCATGTGGTAATAAAACCTACTTTCTTTGCTCCAACCCCGTATTGTCTGACATGGACCCGTCCGGTAGATATAGTGTATAATACCCAATATTGACCCATCGTTCGAATTTGTAGCCCACGTTGTTCAGTCTATGGAAAGGCGAGGGCGTATTTGACCAGCGAGTGCTAAATACTCGCTAGACTTACTGCCCGGAGCAAGTGAACCCGTGTTTGGAGAAGAAGCTAATAGAAATCATTTTCAGAGGTTATGACGGCTAAAAATGCTATAGGTATTCGCTGCAGTAACGGACGTAGGAACTAACCAACAAGACCACGTAGTTTCTTTGTGGATTGATGACTCAGTATAGTGGCCAACAAGCGTTTACCAAGTCCGAGTCCAGTATACGCTTGGGCGACATAGATGGATATTTTAGCTACGCTATTTGATGTTTGAGTGGTGAACTCAACTGTCTTAAAAACAGTATAGATGGAACCTACTGTTCAAATTCTTCTCCTTCTACACCCCACGGTAGGTAGCACACGTATCCAAACTTAGCGAATCTGCCATCCGACTCCTTGACAAGCCCAATTAAGCAAGGGTATGGCTCGCCTTTGATGCTTTTGCTCTTGAGGCCTCGGAACCACCCGAGCCTGTACTCGTCGGTGAGAGGAGATGTGTATAGTATCCCAGTGGTATTTATTATGTTCCAGTTATAGACTTCGTTCACTGAGGTAATGTCCATCAATATGCTATCGGGGTGGAATAAGGTAAACACCCTACTAAATTGCAGGTCAGATTCTGTTGCATCTCGAACATTCACATCTTTGTGGTCTGTATTTGCCATGGTGGGTGTAATCAGGGGCTATGCGATATTTGGTCCTGCTTACCTATGTGGGCTATCGAGTCAGAGGCCTAGAGAAACAAGTGGAGTCAGTGCGAACGTCAGAATCCGTTATTTGAGTGGCTCGGGTACTTCGGTCTGTGAAATCTGTGAAATCCAATTCATTTTGGTTGTACATGCCGTGACCAGCGTGTACACAAAGAGGTCAAACAACCACGCATATATTCCATAAATTGAACATCAGAGCGATAATTCTACTTGTTGAACCCCCTTTAGGTCAATACTGAAAAGCAAAACGTCCTCATAGGCCCCCCCGCGTTGCATGAGTTGATACCACCTAAGGACGAATAAACTTTTAAAGACTCGATTTGTCACAAAAGCCATACAAACGTACGTGACTGACTGTCTAAATCCGTGAGATATAAGATCTTGTTGAATAGACAGGTCGGATCCAGACACAGCTTCGTAGATTCTACCATCAGTTGCGAAGTTTGTCGACGATTCTACAGAACCTACCGGCTGTTATTAACCTGAATCCTTTGGTTTGTGTGTGCGAAAGGATCGTAGCAATCAGCTTGTTGGTCGCGGTCTGGCTGCTGGAAGCCAAGTGAAGTCCTACAGAGCTACAATTGTCCATGGTTGATCAACAAACTGACCACATCCCACGGTCAAATCCTTGCCCTACAAGTCGTATGCGGGTCTGCCGTCTGCAGAGAGCGGCTTAAGATAAGCATACCCTGCTATCCTGCTTGATGCTTCAGTTTCAGCCAGGATGGCCGGGCACAAAAGGTTTGGTCTGCTACCAAGGCGTTTGTACCATGTATGGCGTTGTTCCATGTTGGTAGCTTCTCCAAAAGAGTTTAGAGTGATGTACTGTCTCTGTCCGTTATGGATTCTGTTGACTAATGCCAGATAAATGTTGTTAGTTGAGATGGAAAAAGCCTAGAACCATACTTTCGGGTAGGTCGTCCGTCTTGATATCTCTACAGCTGATCGCTGCTGTCGGGTGGTGGTATGAAGCGGACTTAATTGAGCTTGTGTGATCCCCAATCACAACCAACCTAGTCGCCGCAGTTCTGTGTGGGCTTTCGTGCTCGAGCCGAGCTTCGGGTACTGAGGGCACTTCGGGAAGATATAGAGTATAGTATGCGACGTCCAGCCATCGTTCAAACTTGTATCCAACATTATCTAGTCTATCGTAACTCAGCTAATTTGGCTAAACAAATGAGTTTGGTCTGCTTACTGCCCGGAGTAAGTGAATCCATGTTTAGCGAAGAATTTGCTAGACGGACGGTTTTCTGTGGTGATTGTAGCTGGTAGGAGCTAATGATCAGCGCAAAATGAGAAATTTTAAGCTAGAGACTGACCAACGATACCACGTAGCCGCCTTGTTGAGGGATGGGCTAAAATGGCCGCCAATAACTCAGCGCCTAATCCACGCCCTGTATAATCTTGAGCGATGTACAACGATATTTCTACAACTCTACATTCGATTCGATAAATATTAGTTGAATAATAAACTAACGGCGAAGCATGACTTACAGCTCAAATTCTTCTCCTGAAATCCAAGGGAGGTAACACACGTATCCAAACTTGGCCTCTTGACCGTCTGGGTCTCTTGTTAATCCAAGCAAGCACGGGTATGATTCACCCTTGATATTTCCTGTCTTTAGACTCCGGAACCACTCGAGTCTAAACTGGTCAGTTACTGGGGACGTAAAAAACAACCCCACAGAGTTGATGATGTTCCAATTGTAAACCTCGTTCACTTTGAGAACAGACTGAATATCTGGCCTAAAGAACTTTTAGGGACAATCTTACTGAACGGGAGGTCCGCCTCTGTTGCGTCTCGAAAAATGAGTCTTTTGGGAGCGGGGTCTGACATGGTAGTTGGAACGATCAAGTAGGCGATGTTTGATTTTGTTTGCCTTTCGATATATTGCCAAGCCAGAAACAGAGCGGTCTAACAAGTGCCGAGTACGTTAATAAGAAGCCCCGAGTGGAATAGCATACAAACTCGCAAACTTCATAATCTTGTACATGCGTGTGGCAGAAGCAAGAAAGGCATGCATCGTGTTGAAACGACACAGTAGATATGGATACAGTGTTGAAATTCTATTTGATCTTCAGTTGACATCGATTATGCAGGCGTCACCCCCTTCCAGTATTTTGTCGGTACAAATGGCATCCCTTTTACCTCTGCCTCGCGTAGCTTTTTCCTGACGTCAATCAAAACCTTTGTGCCCTTTTTGTGGTACCCGTTTTTGATGTATCCCATGGCAATATTCGTTCCAACAGTTGGGGATGGGATTCCCGAAGTAACAACTCCAATCTGGGTTTCGGGAGAATCAGCTGCATACACTTTCGCACCCTCTGGTCAAACAGATATCGGGTTAACGTTGCGGTCGTAATAGAAACACATCTTGGCCATACCTCGCGCTGGAGCCTCGGAGATGACAAACCCGACTCTTCGACGAGGGGGTCCCTCTTTGAGCTGTTTGAGGACAGTATCAGACCCGATAAAGCCACCGTGCTCCCGACGGGATTTACCTATATGATGTCAGTTAATGCGAAACATGTTAATGGATCGACCTTACCAATGACCCAACTGA